AATTTCACCCCCATGAGTCTAGGCTGGCCTTAGTGACCGCCTGACTGATTGAATGCAGTACAAGTGACATCCTGGGATTTCCCAGGCTAGGTCATATGAAACCTTGCAGCTTCTGCTTGGTCTTCCTGGAAGGTTTGCTCTTGGAACCCTTAACTACCATATAAAACAAGTCTATCCACATGGAAAGGTCCTGAGACCACAGGGGGAATCAGGGGACCCAGCTGAGCCCAGCTTTCCACTGTGCCTTCCTTCGTAGGTGTTAAGCTTGAGTGAGGCCCTTTCAGACCTTCTAACCTACCCATCCACCAGCTAAATACCACCAAATGACCTCCGATGATGCCATATGGAACAGAATACTCAACCAGGTGATCCCTGATCAAATTCCCAATCCACAAAATTATGAGTAATAAGATGGTGGCAGTTATAAGCCACTAAGTCTTGGGGTGCTTTGTTGCACATCAACAGCTAATGAAACACAAACACTCCTGGACCCTTGTGACTCAGACTCAGACTGAACCAACCACCAATGAAGGCTTTCGGTAAGGGCTCAATCACTGGATTTTAGAAGACAATGACACCTGAGTGGCACAGATGAGACAAAGGGGAACGTGTTTCCGTAGGCCATCTGTCCTAGATGCTGTTTTCAAATGAATTTGAATACTTCCCTTTTGAACATACACCAGATGCCAGTAGTGCCAATGCACTACCCAGCCAGGTGAACATCAGTGACATGAACGAACTGTTCTTTAGGGCTACAAGGAAGCTATGGACTGCTGCATTTATGCCATCAACTTGGTGATGTAACTAGCATGCTCTATGTTGTTAAAAGGTGGCAGTTTGGCACAAGGACATGTGAATTCAAGTGATTAGATGCAAACTAAAAGAGAGATGACTATTTCTGAGAGCTGTGGGTTAATTTTTTGGCTGTTCTCGGAATGGAAAATGATTGTGAATTTTGGGGGAAAAATACCAGAGCAATCTGTTTTCTTGGCCGCCTGCTATGGAGCAATTTTAAAGCATTGAAGTGCTTTCCATATTTTCTAATCACTCAAGTCCAGAGCTGATTATGGCTCTCAGCATCTCTCAGATTCACACCGCTGGAGCCTCCCACATCTTTCAGGGAGAGGTTTCACCTTGAAAGCAGGTGCCTGGATTCAGAAGGCACATCTTGCTACAGCAGGAACACACAGTTTAATTGTAGCACAGCTCACAAGGGCCAGGTGTTTTGGAAAATCACTGATGGCCCAACTCTGAGATAACCTAGATTCACTTTCCCTTATCTCACAAAAATAAAACATAACCTCTTCTCCAAACAGAAAAAATGAAAACAAGCCCTACCAGAAACTGAATTCTTTCACACAAAAACCAGGAACATTTAGATGATTGAGACCTGTGGGCAAGGACATGCCTGCATTCACAGGCGTGCACACACACACATACACACCCAGTTGTATATGATTAAACATCTCTAGAAGGAGCTTCATGAAACTGGAAACTGTGGTTTCCTCTGTGGAGAACTGGGGAACTGGAGAAAATTAGAGGGTTGATGAAGGAAGAAGACTTTTTTTTTTCACCTTAAACTTTGGAATATTTTGAATTTTTAAAAATCATATATTGTGTTACTTTTCAAATTAATGAAATAGAATAATTCCAACCCTGCATATGGCAATTAAGATGTGCTAGGTTGTGTATTTAATGCTTTGTGTATATTCACTTTTTAATCTTTACAATAACCCTGTGATGCAGACATCATTATGTATTTTCCTGATTTTACAGATGAAGAAACTGAGATACGGAAAGGTTAGGTGACTTGTTCGAGGTCACATAGCCAGTAAATGCAGAACTGGGATCTGGACCCAGAGTCTAGTTCTGGAGTCTGTCCTTTTAATTGCCACATAATACTGCCTTGCCCAAAATAAACATACTCAGGCCCTTGATCATAATTGAGTTGGAGTAGATAAAATTGTTCCTTTCTTCTCTCACATAGTCAATATCAGGTCAATATCATGACTTTGGACAAGTTGCTTAATCTTTCTGAGCCTACACCGCTAGTGTGTACCAGGTATTCTTCTAGGCTTTGTGGATAACTAGTGAATAAAATAGAGTCCCTGGTCTCAAGAAACTTCCTGTATCCTGGCAGAAACAGACAATAAACAAACAATCCAGAAACCATAATGTAAACAATAAAGGAAAATTAAAGTGTTCATTGACAGATGAGGATTGGGAACCCCAATTTATGCTGAATGGTCAGGAAGTATCATTTACACAGAGTGCTGAAAAATGGGCAGGAGGAAAGCAGGGAAAAATAGAAGCGGGTGGGGGAAAGGAAAAATATTATAGTAGAGAGAACAGCCTATGGAAAAATTGTGGGGCAGGGAAGGGGTGTTTGTCTGAAGACAGAAAGGTTTGTGTGGCTAAAACAGAGTGAAATTGAGTTTGGAGCCAGAAGCAGATCATGTAGACCAGTGGTCCCCAAGCTTTTTCGCACCAGACACTGGGTTTTGGGGAAGACAATTTTTCCATGGCCGGGTCAAGGAGGATGGTTTAGGGATGAAACTGTTCCATCTTGGATCATCAGCCATTAAATTCTAATAAAGATTACACAACCTAGATCTCTCTCATGCACAGTTCACAATAGGGTTTGGCCTCCTATGAGAATCTAATGCAAATGCTGATTTGAGAGGAGGCGGAGCTCAGGTGGTAATGTCTGCTCTTTTCCTGCTGGTACCAGCCCATGGCCTGGGGGTTGGGGACCCCTGATGTAGACCATGATTTGGCTCACGTCCCACCCTCCAACTGCCATCTAACATGTTTGAATTGTGCATCCTATCAGCAAAATTTTTAAATGTATATAAATAGGCATCTATATTCATATAGATATCTATATTCCTATCTATTATATATAGATACACATACTAAAATATGAACAAAAACATTTTCAAAAATAGAAGCTAGGAAGAATGACAAAGTAAATGATGAAGGTGCAGATATTTTTCTCCTTGTTTCCCAAAGGATTGTCTTGCATATCTCCTGAGCACCTCATCCCTACCCTGGGACTACAGCTCTAATCCAGAAAGCAGCATGGCCTGTGTTAAGTGAGATTCAAAGAAACAGAATCTCTTATCATGAAACCATCAGAACTCTCCTGACTTTGAGGGGGGCTCCTTTTGCACAAACTACTAGTTGTGCAAGGATTTCACAATTTTCATAAGAGCCCTGGGAAGTCACTGAAGGTTATAAGTAGAAATGACATAACCTGATTTACTTTTTAAGATGATTACTGAGTGAAACATATGTCTAGGCAGTGGCAATGGAAGAACTGAAAGACCAGCTAGGAAGCTACTGCAGGAATGCAGGCAAGCAATGGAGATGGTTTGGAATAAAGTGCTGCAGGAGGGAGAGCAGTAGATACATTTGAGATCCATGTTAGTTGTGCTGTATTTTGTGAAAGGAGAATAATGATGTTAGCTACGAAGCATTATTGTGAAGCATAAGTTTACAGGTGTGAAAATGCTTTGTCAACTCTAAGGTGCCAAAGATAACTCAATGTTACTATAGATGATGAAACCAAATACTAGAGAGACCCTAACTTGCCCAAAGTCACACAACTGCTTAGCAGTTGGGAGGAAGGAGTTAAAGCAGTTGGCCTGCAATCTCTTTACTCCTTTCTCTGGGGGTGTATCCCAGGGGAAAGAAAAGAAGGCTGGTGACCAGGTCTAATCTCCTTGTCAAATGGACTTCTGCATAGATAGAGTAATGATATTTAGGATGTCCCTGGCTAACAACTACCTCTAGTAAATAGATCCCAGGACCTGTGAAGGAAGGCTCCTTGGAGAATATCACATCAGCTATACAACTCTCTGTGGTATAACAGGAAGATGTTTTGTGATTGAAATGCCTCATGCTCTGCAAGAAGAGGCGACCCTGTGTTCCTTACCTATTATTCTGAGTGAGATGCGTGTCCAATGAAGGAAGATAGGTCCTTGGGAGCCATTCTTGGGTTGCAGATTTTTCTTTACCTCATAAGAACTTCTTGATTGCTTATATTCTTGAACTTATTTAGCAAAGCCTGATAGTGGATAAGATCTCTGATTCATATAACATGACTTGACAATCAGATCGCCTGGCTTCATTCAGTGGCACATATCTATTTCCTAGGCTCTATTAGCTCCTGTGTAACACTGAGCCCAATTATAAAGTCCAGGGATGAAGGGAGAATATACTTGGTTATATTTGAACCCCTTACCAGTGGCAAAACTAATATTTATTTGACACATCTGATATCTATCAACTTGAAAATAATTTTGGGGAATATTTACACAATTGAAGAAACACAATGTATTTGCCCTTATTGTGACTGAGTAACACTGGAAGTGCACAATAATGGGTTGTTTGTGATGGTTCATGTGATTACATTGGGAGGTGAGCCAGGCTTTTTGGGTCTCCAATGACAGCTCCCAAGCAGTTCTAGAAGACAGGGCTTTTTAGATGCATAGATACTCACCTCTCACCCTCCAATTGCCAAAGAATCAGTACAGTCTCAGTGTTCTGCCATGAATATCATTCCCCAAACCACTCATGGACCTCCTAAATCATGGAGTTCTTTTTCTCTCTTTTTTAAGGTGCACAATTTATCTTTACACACAATTTTGTTTTGAAACTTAGAAATGATGACAAAAGAGAACTGTTACTTTAGTTGGAAGGGAGGGAAACCTTTTTGTCCTCTCTGCTTCATAATAAACTGTATTTATGCTTGAGGCATCAAAAGATAGAATCAGCACGCACACCTCACATCCTACTCCTGGTACAAAAACCACTGATTGTGAACTGAGCTGTTGCAGATAAAGCACGTCAAAGGGCCAGGGCTGCTTCTGGCAGATGCTAAACAAGAGGAGGCTAGCAGGCGTGCATGACGACAGCACAAACATGTTTTATACAGAGAAGCCTTTTGACATCCTTTTTCCCCTGAACAAATTCCCAAACCAAAGCTTGATGTTTACCTTCGGCGAGTGGGTCAAGGGTGTGTATCATGAGCTGGAAGATGCTATTCCTCATGAGACTGTTGTGGAGGGAGGCAGAGCTTCCACCTCGCTGGAGACGCGGCTTAGCCTGAGCAGAGAAACCAAAGAGGTGGTTAGTCTCAGAAATGAAAGGCAAGTGCATTATAGACAAGATCCTCACTTAGTCTGGTGGCCACTCATTTCTGTCGCATGATCACACACTATTGAGCCAACGATTTTCAAAGTACATTTCAAAGCCCCTGAGGGAATGTCTCTCACATTCTTTCCTAATAAGTGAATGCGTTGCTTCCCTTTTTAAAAAGAGCTTTGTAAATGCCAATGTGTTATATGCTTCACATCCCTTCACTTATCTTATTTGCAAAATGAACCCTAAGAACTAGATGCTATTATTCTTCTTGTTAGATAGACGAGGACATTTCATCTCAGAGAAGTGAAATGAGGTGTCCAAGTCACACCAACAAGAGGTGGAGGCTGGAGGAATGGATCCCAGGTCTGCTTTTCTCAAAGACTGTTCTCTAATCCAGTGGGTGGTCTCTAACATTTTTGAAGTGTGCATCCTATCAGTAAAATGTTTAAATGTATATAAATAGGCATCTATGCCCATATCTACATAGACACATATACTAAAATACGAACATATAAAAACACTTTCAAAAATAGAAGTTAAGAAGAATACCACAGTAAATGATGAAGGTGCTAATGTTTTCTCCTTGCTTCCCAAAGGCTCGTCTTGCACATCTCCTGGGCTACCTCATCTCTACCCTGGGACTACAGCTCTAACCCAGAAAGCAGCATGGCCTATGTTAAGTGAGATTCAAGAAGCAGAAGCTCTTATCATGAAACCATGAGAACTCTCCTGACTTTGAGGGGGGCTCCTTTTGGACAAACTACTAGTTGTGATCCTTTGGCCAAATAAATGGAACTGGTAGGTAAGAAGGAAGAATGAGTATCTAGAGATAAGGTTACCGACATACGCTTTTTCTTCTATCTTCAAAAGCAAACAACCTAAAAACTCCCAAACCCTCTGTATTTTGATGGGTTTTTAACCTAAATAGGAACTGCTGTCTCCCCATGATTGATTTTGTGCTGATCATCACAAGGGAAGACTCTCCGAGGCAGCCAAGCTTTATAGACAGACAGATTTAAGGAGTTGAAAGGTATTGTAATGTAAGGCAGTTAATTTCTTATTGAACTTTCAGTGTAAAAGTTTGACATGTAAATTTTCTGGGGCAGGTAAAAATAAAATACTATTCTCCACTATGTCTTTCGAACTTCTGCATAACAGGGTTTTCCAAAATATTCCATCATACTCTAGACCCACAAGGGGGCTTCCCCAAAAGTGTCCTATGAGAGACTCCATGATCAAATACATATTTGATATATATTGAAAAGTGCTATATCCTAGCCAACTCACCTTAGGGTTTCAAACTACACATTAGACCACTAAGTCTAACACTACAGTAATCTGTTTAACTTGATTAACTTGGGCAGTGTTTCCAAACTATTATCCGTAGGATCTTATTTTGTAAAACACTTGTTAACAATCATGGTCCACACAGTTGGAGACAAACATGAAACCCGTAGAAAGTACGAGTAAAATCTCACTATGAGATACCCGAAGAAATCTGGCTCTTTTAGTGTGATTTATTATGACATTCTATTGGAAATCATATTGCCAATTCAATAGGGTTGGAAAAGAACTCAGTGGAGATTACTGGTGTCTCAATGGTGAACCAGATTATGGCTCCTTAATAGAAGAGATTGAGTCTGTGCCTGTGTTCTGGTACTGGATCAGGTGCATTCTATGGGCTGTTAATCAATGTTACATCTTTGCCCTGAGCATTACAGGAGGAAGGACAGGGTCATATGTATCTTTATTACTGTTTTAGCCTTGAAAGTCTTAAACATTTTAAAATGCATTTTGTTATTAGTTATAGAGGATTCAGATGATTAAATTTCAAAATATTTTAGGAGCAAGCTTAGGAGATCTGAATAAAATGGAAATGTAATCACTGTTTGATGGCTGAACACAAGAATTCTGAAGGTTGTTTCTTTACTATGCTGCAAAATCTGAAATGTGATGTGTTAATTAAACAGGAACTCAGAAATGGTTTATCAATAATAATTTGTCATAACTACTATGGTCCTTATTCTGGGAAACTGGAAGAACTCTGGTGTGGAGATCTTCATTTGAAAAAGATTACATCTAGAGAAGTACTGAAAGCATTCTTTTGTGTATTATGTATATATTAAATATACAGGTCTCATGCAGCATTTCTTTTGATGAGACCAAAAGAAATTTCCAATCAGAGTATGTGCATGCAGATACACGAAGAAAACAAATATTGAGCATTAGATCCCACACTACTCCCAAATATTAGTTCAGCATCCCTTGGAATGCAATTTGGAAATATCTCACTCTTCCAACTCCTACAAAAGTTCATACCAAATGGAAGAGAAAATTCAAATTTTGAAACCTAGTCCCAGAAGACATGTGTTCATGAATGCCAGAATTCAGTCATCACTAATTGTAGCACAGAGTAGAAGTACACAGCAGGGGTTAGACTATTTAAGTATTCCAAGGGAGAGAGTAATGTGTTGAGCACACAAACCCCTCTTACTCCCAACCCCACCCCACACTCTCCACAGGCACACAAGCAGGTACAGACAAAGCTACTGCTTCCTACCGGTAGAGTCGGTTCATCCTTGTCTCTGGCTGCAGATGGCTGCATAAGAGAAAAAGGCAAAGACAAAAGACAAAGAAATAAATAAATGAAGAATCACATATGGCATTTACATTTAATAACAAGCATCAGTATAGGGGAAGAGTTCATTCTTTCTGCTCCTGGGATGAGTTAAGCCAAAACAGGGGACTGAGGATGTATATTTCTAGCCAAAATATAATGGTTTATTTAGGTACATGATTCATTCTCCTGAAAGGTCAAAGTTTAATGGCCAACCCGAATGTCCAGCTATACAAAGCAGTTAAGTCAACTGTGGCCCAGCCATGCAGTGGAATACTATGTGATCATTAAAATGAATGAGGTAATTCACATGTACTGACATGGAAAATATCTACTGATAACTGAAAAAATTAAACATTTATAAATATTTATTGTTTCATTTCATAAAGGAAAATAAATTAATAATACTTTAGTGCATGTAAATAAAAAAATTCTGCAAGAGTGATACCAAACTGTTATTAGTGGTTGTTACTGGTGGATGGGATTGCAAAGAAATGTCATCTTTTATATGTTTTGGGGGGAGTCAGCATTCATTGCTCCAGGTATTGTGAATAAAATAAAGTTCACAGAAGTTAGGCCACTGAATTAAAGACTAGGATCATCCCACATGGAAATCAGATAACCCATCTTTTCTTCTGCTCCCTCACCTCAAGTTTTCTATTCTAAATAGAAGTCTCTGTCCAGTTGAGAAATGTGGATTAGAACACAAGGGCACATAAAGGCCTGGTAATCTGCTGGGAGCGAACGCAACACAGACAAGGGGGCAGTGTAATTCTACCCACATGACGCACCTGGACAGCTTTTACTTCCTCAACTCAATAGGAACTCTCCATCTTCACCAGAACCGGGCACCACCCTGGGATCTTTCCAACGAGATACAGGTGCCTGGTGAATAGTTCCTCATGCTTAGACACCACCTTCGTCACTTCACCTCGACTACAGGTGCAGACAGCAAGAACAAACTGGAACCCTTCCCCCATCTGGCATTCTGGTCCTCCCCAATAGGGTCTGAGCAGATGTCTGTCTTCAGGAATAATCACATACTCGGAGGAGAGTAGCCAGATGCAGAGCTGTTTTAAAACTTTCATGTGCTCTAGGCTTTCTGTTTTAGGGTCTTCCACACGTGTCTTGTAAAGATATTAAGATGTCCCCACATCCCATCTAAAATATACAATTCACCTAAAATATACAGTTTTGTGTAAAAAAAAAAGAGAAGGGATTCTTATAATTTTGTATTTTAAATTATTTGCTATGTGCCATTCATTTAAGTTAGGATTAGCATGCTCAAAATCTTGCAAAGTGAAAAAATCAAATCTACAATTTGTTTTCATATGTGATGGATTTTTAAGAAGGTAAAATTTAATACTTAGTGAGGTTGATGTTAAATATTTTGTGGACATTCAATTAGATGTTCAATAATTTTGATTTTTGTAGACACCTTTTTGGATTCCGGAGTCATTACCAATGTGTTTTTATTCCCCTTCTGGTTCCAAGCATTTTTATGAAGAACTTGCAAGTCTCAGACATAAACAGAAGGGTTCTGCGTTGGTGGTAATTTCTGAGCACAGCCTGTGAGCACCACTAAATTTGCCTTAACCCTCAGGTTGGGGGCCCTCTCTCGGTGACTTCTCTAAAAACGCTAATAGGGAAATGTCCTGATGCCCTAGTTCCCAAGAGCCTGCTTGTGGAACTGGAGTGGACAGGAAACTGGCCTTTGATTCCCCACTTTCCTCTGAAAGGCACTGTATGATCCTGCTTCTCTCTGGCAGGTCCTCTCCTTTTCTTTCCTTCCACATCCGACAGCTCAACAAATGGCCTCACAGTCTGCAGAGCAATCCCCCAGGGAAATCTTCCAGGGCAGCAAGCTCAGCCTTTAGACATACATTGAGATTAACCGTCAGAGCATGCCTGGTCAGTTAGCAAATTTACACCTTGTGGCTAAATGGGAGACCAATAATTATGAGCTGGAATTGATACCACGGTGATAACACAGAACATGAAGGAATAGGATGAAAGTGGGGAGAGAAAAAGGTGGGCTTTATAAGGGCAGAAACGTCACCAGCTGAGAGTTTGAATTTTAAAAAGTATATCTCAATACATTATTTAAGGAAGGAAAAAAAATCCAAACCTGTCTTTTGGTCTGAAAAGAAGAAAAAAATATCTACTCTATTGACTTCCTTTTTCTCTCACAGCAAGGAAGATCATAAAACATAAAAGGTGGAAGGAAAATGCCTAGTACATAGATTCTATAGAGAAAAAACTGAGCGCAGAGACAGGCCTGAAATTCTCTACAAAATGTCCCACTGTTTAATGTCTGCAGTTGACATCATTCATTTTCTTTCAAGTGTAATCTGCAGACATGAATATACATCAGGGTATAACATGTAAATTTAGGTATACACACAAATGGCAGCAGAGGCCATTAAAACACCCCTCTACTTTCCTTTTATGTAGCCCTGTTGCAAAAGAGATAAGAAGCGTGACATATGATGGTAATTGCCCATTTCTAGGGGCTCACCCACATCTACTGATAATTCGAGGTTCACCTGACTTAGCCTTGCTCTAATTGCATCTTGAAGCAGCCTCACAGTCCTGGCAATATGCAGCTGATTATGTTACAAATTCAGTTTTAAAGGGGTTTAATTACACGGGAAGTAACTAGTGAAGGTGACAAAGAAATGATTTTAATATGTATAGCCAGTGGGTTTTGGGTTGGCCTAGTGTTGTGAATTTATTTTCAGGGCCATTAAATACATGGCAAGTTTATTCTAACCCATGGGATGCTACAGAAGACAACTTCCTCAAAAGAAGACTAACGTGACTTTAAGGATTAATCTTGGCATTCTTATGATGCATTTTGCTTTTTAATCCCCTTAATTTTAAACACACCAAAATACCACTCATTTGGGCTGTATTAATATGAAAGCCCAATTCCTGGTGGTCAGCATGCTATGGATTGGCTTAACAAATTCCTATAAACAAATTTAATGAATACATTGAAATAAATTTCCTATAGCTGTAGAAAAAAATATGTTAAGCCAATCCATAGCACACCCACAGCAGTTCTTCAAGGATTGTTTAAAAGAATAAACTGGGCACTTAAGCGGGCTGTGCCATGTGACCTCGGGCACTGCCAACAGTGGGTGAGCTCTGGGTGTGCGGGCGGCCTGGTGCGGTGCTCTGCTGTGTCAACGTGTTATGATGCTGTCCCAAACCAACCTGGCTACTGGAATCCCCAGGAGTAAAGTGAAATATTCAAGGCTCTCCAGCACAGAGGATGGCTACATTGACCTTCAGTCTAAGAAAACTCCTCCTAAGATCCCTTATAAGGCCATCGCACTTGCCACTGTGCTGTTTTTGATTGGCGCCTTTCTCATTATTATAGGCTCCCTCCAGCTGTCAGGCCACATCAGCAAAGAGGGGGCAGACCAGCCGTTCCAGTCCTGATCCTTGGCATTCTGGTGTTCCTACCCGGATTTTACCACCTGCACATCACTTACTACGCATCCAAAGGCTACCGTGGTTACTCCTATGATGACATTCCAGACTTTGATGACTAGCACCCACCTAATAGCTGAGGAGAACAGTCACAGTGGAACTGTCCCAGCTTTAAGATACCTAGCAGAAACTATAGCTAAGGATTAAGGAATTCTGCAGCTTGCAGATGTTTAAGAAAATAATGGCCAGATTTTACGGGTCCTTCCCAAAGATGTTAACTGAACCTGCAGTAGCTAATTAGGACATGCTCTGTTTTTCATCCCTTGGCCCTGGCAAGAGCTCCTGACAAGTTTTTCCACAGGAATATGTATCATGGAAGAATAGAGGTTATTCTGTAATGGAAAAGTGTTGCCTGCCATCACCCTCTGTAGAGCTGAGCATTTCTTTTAAATAGTCTTCATTGCCAATTTGTTCTTGTAGCAAATGGAAGAATGTAGTATGGCTAATTTCTTATTACTAAGTAATTTATTTAAAAAATATCTGAGTATATTATCCTCTACACTTATCCCTACCTTCATGTTCCAGTGGAAGGCTTTAGTAAAATCAAAGATCAGTGAGTTCATCTGTAATGTTTTTTTTACTTGCTTTCTTATTGACAGCAACCAGGAATTTTTTTATCCTGTGGAGCAACTTTTCAAAATGTAAATACTTTCTCTGTTTAACAGCCCTTGGCCCATTCTGATCCAGTTCACGAGTAGATTGGACAGCATACAATTTGGATCATTTTGTCCCTAGTAAATCAAATGTTCTGTAGATTATTCCTTTAATGGCTGGACTTTTGACTGTTTCCTAATGAAACACATAGATAAGTGGTTATCATTTAGAGTTTATAACCCTATTGCTAGCACCTTGTATTATGCCATCATTCTGCTCATGATTCCAAGGATCAGCCTGGATGCCTACAGGACTAGATCGCCTTAGTTTGATTCTATTTTTTAGCTTGCAAAAAGTGACTTATATTCCAGAGAAATTAAAATGTTGAAATCAAAAAAAAAAAAAATTAATAAACTGCATCCTGAAGGTCTCAGGTCAGGGTTTTGGTGTGCCAACGCAGACTCCCCTCTCCATTCATGAAAGCAAGACTTTTGTCAGGCCATTCTCTACTTACAAGAAAATATTCTGTAATTCAAACCTTTATTCAATTAAACTGGCCCTCTTCTCAATGACTCAAATTAGTCATATGGTGATTGCACTTAAATTGAGCAACTGAAAGATGTCTTTAATCTCTATTATCCTTCCTGGTGGAAATTCCTTTTTTTTTTTTTTCTTTGAGATGGGGTTTTGCTCTTGTTGCCCAGGTTGGAGTGCAATGGCATGATCTCAGCTCACTGCAACTCCGCCTCCTGGGTTCAAACAGTTCTCCTGCCTCAGCCTCCTAAGTAGCTGGGATTATAGGCGCCCACCACCACGTGCAGCTAATTTTTGTATTCTTAGTAGAGACAGCGTTTCACTATGTTGGCCAGGCTGGTCTTGGACTCCCGATCTCAGGTTATTGACCTGCCTTGGCCTCCCAAAGTGCTGGGATTACAGGAGTGAACCACCGTGCCCTGCCAGAAATCCCATTTCTATACAGGAATTTTGCTACTTATTTGATAGGTGTTTTGAAATTGTCTATTTATGCTTCCACCCCATATAATAAAATGCATAGCCCATTTAGATAGTATTTTGACGCTATAAATCAGTCCAGCGTCCTTAAATCTTCTTTCTTCCTTTGATCCTTGAAAGCCAGAAATGATTTTGCTGACTATAAAGTGTAGTTTTGATGGAACTTTGTATATAGCCTTTCACCACATACAGGCCCCCAGTCCCACTTCACACACATAAAAATTAGGCCAATACTGTAGTGCAGTTGCCTCAGTGCCACTCAGTAACAGGATACTAACAAGTCCATGGTTCACTCTGGTAATTATCTACTTACAAATCACATGATCAAATGGGTCACCATGAAGACTTCATAGGCCAAAATACAAGTGTGTAAACTAAGGGATGCTTTTTTTTGGTCAATGATGTGGCATCAGATATAGGGGAACAATAAGGAATTTGTTGCAAAAGCTAAGTAACAGCCATAAACTTCCACCACTTTAACATTCCACCAAGTCCTGTAAAATGTGCCTACAATGGGTTATGCCAAGGACCTGGAAGCATTATAAAGTCTATAGAAATAAACTTAAACATATAATTATTTTGTCAAAAATATAATTGGAAACAAATATGCCCATGATTAAAATATGAATCCAATATTCCAATGGACATGAATTTTAATGTCTTAGAATTCAGAAAGATTTGGTGAGGAATGATTTGAATGACTGATTTTCATTTAAAAAATTAATATGAAAGTGTAAAATGATGTTTCCTTTTTCTTTCAATACACCATGGTAGTAAATAAAAACATTCAAAATGTCTCTCCTTGTTAAAGATGAATAAACCTCAAAGCCTATTGAAAGACTAGATACAAGGTGCAAAGGCCTCAAATCTGCAATGTAAAAGGAAAGGCACCCTACCACCTCTTAGTCAGATGGAAACTCATCTCTTCCTCCCTCCTTTTACTGTGTCTTAACATATTCCCTAAAACATTAAGAGAGGGGAGATTAAATCAATTCCTAGAGAAAGAAAGAAATATTTAAATTCAAATTACTTTGACTGGTTGCTGGGTAATTATCCCACAATCATGGCCCTTCTGCAAAGAAGGAATCTCAGAGAACAATGAAGTGCTGACGAGGACAGCCCAGGGTGCACGAGTACCCACTTTACAATCCAGTTTAAAGAAATACACTGGGATGGACAGAAGGGGTAGAAATGATCTAAGTAAGAAGTGTGGTAATGAAAGCTCACATTTTGGAAGCAAAGCCTTTTGATGATTTGTTTGAATAATCTTCATGATCATGAAATATTTGAGATAGTAGAAAAAAGTTTGAGAAGAATAGGTATCTTCACCAATATGGAAGGAGTAGAAGATAAACGGTTTAGAGACACTTAAAGAACAATTTGGAATATGGAATACTCAGTAAGGCAAGGGGGCCAGGGTGACTTCCAATTGTAATCAGAATCTCCAAAATTTCTTGATCATATACCATTATCAGATAGAGTCTTGCTCTGTTGTTGCCCAGGCTGGAGTGCAGTGGTGTGACCATAGCTCCCTGCAACCTCAAACTCCTGGGCTCAAGCAATCCTCCTGCCTCAGCCTCCCAAGTAGTTGGCACTATAGGAAAGCACTCTGATGCCGAGATAATTACGAAAGAAAAAAAATTTTTTTAGAGGCCAAGGTCTTGCTATATTGCCCAGACTGGTCTCGAACTCCTAGCCTCAAGTGATCCTCCCACCTGAGCCTCCCAAAGTGCTGAGATTATAGGTGTGAGCCACTGTTCCCAGACTATCTACTTATGTATCTGTGTGCTACTGTCAACCATTATATAAACTATATAAACATGGACTAATTTCTTCCCTCTTTTAAAAAAGATAACAAATAGAAGTCTTAATATTTTTTTCTTGCATCCCAAATAATTATCTTGTGCACCCCACTGGAACATTAGCACAAACTTTTAAAAATGAATTATTTCAATGCCTCTCACAGAATTGATATGCTATATGGAATGTATTAATATATTTTACCCAACCTCTTCAGTTAACCTCTCTAATCCTGGAAGTTGTAAGATCCTTGAGGACAGGATTCACCTCTGTGCCTTCCATGGTCCCTAACTGTGGCTACTTAAAATGCAATTAAGAGGCCTGGGTGAGTGAGAGCACCCAGGCAGAACAGAACTGTGTGCTTCTGTGTCAGTTACCAGAGCTCCTCAGCTGCTTGTGCCACTGGGTAAATTAATAGTAATGGTGATTATTTAAGTTTACCTCTTAAAGGACTAATTAATCTTTCTTATTAAGTACGTACATAGAAGACAGTAATCCTTATCTTACAAATGGAGAAAGAGAGGCAAGAAGGGCCTCAGGCTATTTCTGTACTTAGGATACTAAGCACCAGTGTTAATTCATTTAATTTAGGAATTAACAACCCAACTACCACTGCTATCTCTTGCCTTCCCCTGAAAAATCCAGATGTTCTTAATTTACTTTGTTGTACCATTTTAGCAATTCTCACAATTGCTAATGAACAATTTTGATACGCCAATCAAACACAATCTGCTAGTGGTGTTCTGGCATTAGTCACACAAATTTCCTTTGACTAGTAAAGAACGCAATATGCATTCATCTATTAAGTCTTGATTGCCTTACTTCTTTTAAGGAATGTGCCTAAGACAGAAGGTGTTCAACCATTTTGCTTCCCTGAGCCACACTGGAAGAAGAACTATCTTGGGCCACACATAAAATACACTAATACTAACGACAGCTGATGAACTAAAACAAACAAACAAAAAACTCAAATGTTTTAAGAAAGTTTAAGAATTTGTGTTGGACTACATTCAAAGCTGTCCTGGGCCACTTGTGCCCTGCGAGCTGTGGGTTGGGCAAGCCTGGAAGATGTGATTTTTTAAAAAGGTCCATCAAATGCTGATGTGGAACAAACTACAGAATACTATGTAGCAAATGAGGCAGATTTCAGTAATAATGTGTGTCAAATGTTATATATATATAATATCTCATCGAATCCTCACAATTATAGGTGTTATAAACACATACTCCCCCTTTTAACACAGGAGGACCCTGAGGCTGATGGAGTTGGGACAATTTGTCCAAGGCCACATAGCCAGCAAGTGGCAGAGTAAGATACGAACTCAGACGGTTGGGCTCCAGAGCCTTCCTAAGTGTTGGGGAAATGAGAAAGTGGCATTTTCCTTGCAGTGACCTGTGAGGAAGCTGCAGATAACACAACTTCAAATATAGTAAAAAACAGTTCACGTACATTAAGAACTGTTTATGAGCTCTGACTTCCAATGGAGGTGAGAAAATAGTGGCAAGTGATTGTTGTGAATTTAGAATGAAAGCTTTTATTTGTGTTCATTTTGTACAAAAAACTAGTATCTGGGAGTAGAGAAAGTTACAGAGGCTATTTTGTCTCTTCCAGCATCATTATTTAGACTCAGTTACTATTGTCATGATTTACTATTATTATTTCTGTCTCTTGAAGGTCACAGAGGCACTTTTTATGCCTTCAGAACGGCACAGATTTAAGTAAAACTGCAAATGAGTTGCTCCATATATCAAGTTGACTTGTATTAAGGAGTCGATAGCTCAGTAATAGGTGGGAAAAAAAAAAGGGGCCCCCTGGTGGTCCCCGTTATCACTGCGGTCATGATACATTATTCTATGTTTAGTTTATTTGGAAGTTCGGGTGGGCTCAGTCTTTATTTCTGACACTTTAAGGAACTAGTGCTATTTCTTTGTTTCAGGGAAAGAACAAGCTCAAAAAATGAAAATAATCACTCTTGGTATTTAAAGCTTCAGTGAGACAGTGTGAATGGCAAGTTTTGAATAAAGAAAATTCATTCATTCATTTAACAGTAATTATTTGATAATATTTATCGCACACTTATATATGGCCAAGGATTCTTTTAGGTTCCTAGGATTTAGGTGTGGCCCAAACTTGACAAAAATATCTGTCCTT